TCATCGTGGACTGAGATTACATCCACTCTGTACTAGACCCATCTTACAAGCAGTGCTACAAGCAGTAAACTGGCCCATCTACAACAAAACCCCAAATTGTTCCCCTTTTCTTTCAGTATTTGCTAGGAATTTTCTCATAAAGCTCACTTTCCCCCCAGTACTTCTCACATTTATACTGGTTTTGACCAGTGGAGTGTGCCCTTGTAAGCTCTCCTATGTAGAGCGTGACATGATGGTGATGTCAGCCCCAGTATAAATTTTGAACTTGCCCGACCTGCCCTGTATAGGCAGAGTAATGCACCACCTCACAAACTCATTCATTACAGACTTGAGGAAAAATGCACTACTAGTCTCAGTATCACACACTACTAGCTCTTTGACATTTTTGATATGGTCCCATAAAGTGCTTTGTGCCTTTCCGTGCTGTAATCTGCAATCTGCAATAACCTCGCAATCTGCAATAACCACGGTCTTAATAAGCTCAAACTGGTGCTTGATCTGGAGGGACCACCACTTTGTCTAATGTCAGTTCAGGGTCCATTTGTAACTCTTGGCAAATCTCATGATCTGCAATCCCTATGATGACTCTGTACCATATTTGTTCCTCTTAGCTTGCATTGAACTCTCAGTATTCAGCCAAATCATAGAAGCATCTCACAAAAGCATCAACAGTCTCGCCTGATCTTTGTGTGCACTGGTGAAAACAGGCCCTCTCATGTATAACGTTCCTCCGGAGAACAAAATATTTATTAAATTTGCCAACAACAGTCTAGTAATTATTTGCATGCAAAGCTTCAGCAAGTGTGAACGATCTGAATATCACTTCGGCATCTTTACCCATTGCATAAAGCAGGGAATTGACTAGTACTTCACCGCATTCCTTGTTCAGCTTCGTTGCGATGGGAAACCGTGGGTGAACCGCTGGATCGCAGGCTGTGCAAAATAGTGATGTCATCGTCCAGCTCAGTTCAGTGCTCGTCCGATAGTGTCAGTACATTCAGATCAAAAATGTTGTTGAATATTAAGTCTCCCCAACTAAGTAAGCCAGAGGCGACAGTGGCAACGATCCCAAGTGATGATTCTCAGGTGACAGAATGGAGAAAAAAACCTTGGCTCAGTCGGGGGGCCAGTTCTCCGCTGGCCAAAGAACGAGCAGGGTGTGATTATGATTTCAGGCTGAATCACAAGTCAGATGTTAGATTGTGGATTGGTATCAATCAAAATATTTTATCCAGTTCCTTCTGCTTGAAGATCAGTTTCATCACACTGGTATGGAGACAAAGCTGGCCATCGCGGTCTGTGCAGAGGACTCTTCTGGTTCTCCTGGTCTTTGCATTGCACATCACTCCATTTATTGCAAGAAATTTGACTAAATAATGAATAATAATAAATAAACATTGTCCAAAAGAGGCTCTGCGTTTGCTTGTGAGTGCATGTGTTATTTGGCTTCTACCCCCTTCACATTGAAAGGGTCATTACAGTACTGTCTTCAGAGGCCTGTCTGATGCCCTCAGCATGTCTCATCTAAAATGGATCCCTATTGCTCCCTTTTGTCTAATGGCTTCAGTACTCTATATATAGTCAGCACTGTTGGCGTTCCTGATGAAGCTGAATTTTTCACCTTACGGTTGGCACAATCAATGCTCAGTGATTATCTGTGTAATTTAAACCAGTGAAAATACTGTTGTGCATGGGCGTAGGTTTGATTTTGAAATTGGTGGGGACTTACCCAGAAGCTGAGGATCCAAGGAACGAATAGGATAATGTATTAAGGTTTTTAGTCTATATTGACCTTAACGATATGTTAAACAATAAATTATGGAATGTTACATGCAATAGTCAATGTCTATACTGTCTTGTTCCTTGCTATTTGAATAATCCAAATACGTCGTCTATACATGTCATTAACAAAAATGAACTGTTGGCTTATTTGTTTCACAATAATATAGTCCAGTTTGTCCTGGTGGACATGGCACACAGCAATACTGTTAAGTCTCACTTGTGCAATTGTCTCCTAAGAGCACTGAAACTTATTTCAGCCCCAGCTGATGAGACTAGGATGACTAAAAGTGACATGTTGTGTTTTTTATGTTTTATGGGGACTTTATAGACATAATGATTTTTATGCTGTACAAACCCTTACCTTAACCCTAAACCTACCCATCACAGAAAGGACAAGGATTTCGGATATTGCTATCCTTATAGGGTCCCCATAATGTAGGGTTACACACACAAACGTTTAGGTTTGCCACATATCACACGTTTGTCTAATAACGTTATTGAAAAAACTGCACTGTCCCTGAATCAATATGTGATGCGATTTGCCCCGTATTTTCTTGCTCGGAACTGTTGATTTTTCCGGTTTCGGAGGAGATTTGCCACTTCTCACAAACAAAAATGACCAAGTAAAAAAAAAAAAGCCAATCGGACTAGCAATGTGGATCTGGGAGGCGGGACTCAGATCTATTAACCGTTTGTGTACCAGGAATTGCACATTTTTCACAGAACGCTCTTGTAAGAGATTTTTAATCTCAATGAGATGCTTCCTGGTTAAATATGTGAAGTAAAATAATGAATACATAAAAACCATAAGTTACTGTGTAAATTCTATGCCCCTGCTGTTGTGATAATAAGATCGGATGATACTGGCTGATCATTATTTCTGTGTTAAATCCCAAATGTGCGTTTGTCTTCACTGATTGTGCAGGTATTGTTGAAGATTACAAGCCCCCATTCCATGACGTAGTGCCGAGCGACCCAAGCTTTGAGGACATGAAGAAGGTGATATGCACAGACCAACAGAGACCAAACATCCCAAACAGATGGTTTTCAGATCTAGTAAGTACTGTACCTGCTCAGATTCCTGTGCATATACCTTTATAAATCAAGTCAATCAGTCATGCTGTTTGTAAACACTAAATTTAAAATCTTTGATGAAAATTACACTGTCTTAACAAGATCCAGTGGCAAGCAATTTGTCTTTTCACATTGAATGCTACAATGCTGCCAATCAGAACATTTGAATAGAAATTACATGGTTATAGCTGGTTAGGAAAACGGCTGTATTAGCTCTATAAATCTTCATTGACCTTGTGATTCTATTATGATCACAAAGCTAACAATTTGATTACAAAACGATTCTCATTGCATCTTGTCCTCCCAACTGTTTTTATTAATACACACTAGGGGTTAGCATTGTCACATCAAAATTTCAGTAGCCATTACAAATACCAATACCAATGAAATGCAATGATTGTTGTTGCCAAAGATAACTAACTAAAGATAAAAATTTCTATTACAGTGCTATAACTCTTCCTTTTCCCCGTTTAACTACATTGAATATTTAATTTATTTATACTATTAAATTATAAAATTACTTATTACTAATTACAAATGAATAATTAAAACAATTGTGTGTAGTCAAGTAATTTGTCTACAAACTAAATATAGCTTCAAAATATACAAAAGTAAAGATTCATAAATAAAGAACAAAGAAACTAATTAAAAGCAATAAGCAAAGAGTTTGTTCAGTATGAGTGCTTTAAATATCTAAAAGTTTCCAGACAAGAGCAATGAGTGATGCAAGTGCATTTAATTGCTCACACAGTCCCACACAGCCCCGACACACAGTGCACTTGACCAAAACACGGTTTTATGGAAGTTTAGATACTTGAGTTTTTGTGTGTGTGGAATTCACAATAAGCAGAACATGGTTGTCAAAATTAAAAGCAAAAAGTGCTGTTCCAAAATGATTTCAGGATCGATACGGCAGTTCTTAAGCTTCGATTCAGAATTACTGAAGAAAGAATAATGTGCATCTGATTTTTTTTTCTCCCACCATAAGGCAGTATGACATTTCAATCACAGTAATTTATGAGTGATATGTAAGTGTATACATTACAAAATAGTTTTTTTTGTTGTTGCTGGAAATACAATGTAAACATGGTTTTATATTTAACTACCATGCATTAATGGTTTTTATTGGATAATTCATTGAATGAAATACTTTCCACATGAAAGGTATTAAATTTAATTTAATGTTTGAAATATAATGGCCCGATGGACAAACCAAAAGAGAAGATATTTCATTGTAACAATAACAAATGTATCATGATTCAAAATTTCAATCAATGAAAACATCGGGACATTCTAAAACATTAATTAATAAGGTGAATATTGATTTTGTTTTTTTTAATATCATTGTGTTACTACATAAGTACAAACCTGGTAGAAATGACTGGCGTGCAACAGAGGATAGCCCTGGTTTGCCCTACAGTTGGACGTTCCTATGAGGGCGTGACGTCACGTGACACTCTTATTTCTTTCTATTGACGATTCCTACCTCTGTTGCTTTGTGTTTTTCACCCTCACATTGCTTGATTCAGTCTCCTTTTTTGTTTTTATTTTTCAGACTTTAACATCAATCGTTAAACTCATGAAGGAATGTTGGTACCAGAATCCATCAGCCAGACTTACAGCATTACGCATCAAAAAGACTCTGACAAAAATTGGTAATTCTCTGGACAAAGTAAAAATGGACATATGAACTGCTTCCTTATGGAAGACCCTAAAGGCCTTTAACCATGGCCAGCAGATGTCTCATCTGGAGAACAAACCGGAAAAAGAGATTATCCTGACTTAGTGCTCTTATAGAGGCACATCATATTTATTTTGAGTTTACAGCGGGGCAGAATTCATTACAATTATTAAACAGATGAGAATGTGGCCTCAAATGCAAACTTAAACTACCATAAAATCTTTATTTATAGAGAGACAGTTGCTGGAAATAAAGCAGTTGAAGTGAGAGGATGGTTCTTTTTTTGCGTTTGAGTTTGTTATATTTAAATTACTTAGTAATTTTTACATTTGAGCCCCTGAGGAACTCTCTGCAATCCCATGTAGATAATGTATATCCATACTCCTTAGGTTTTCTTATTATTTTCATAACAATTAAACATGTTTTTCCTCAAAAAAAGTTGATTACTTTTTATTTAAAAAAACTGGGGGAAAAAATGACCTGTTCGATTCATCCATATGATCCACAATTGAGTATTTGTTGAAATAATGAACATCACATAATGGTCTTTTATTGCTTAAAAGCCATAAACTCATTCTAGTAATTATTCATTCAAAATAAACAAACAAATAAATAAGTAAACATTCTGTACTTCCTTTACTGAGGTTATTGGAGTTTCCCAATCATGCGGTTTAGGTTTGCTGGTGCACCCACCACCCTTCCATCTCTGTCTTTCTCTCTCTGTAATCCTCTTACATTGAGCCACAGGAGGAGGAGCAATTAAGTCTCTCTCTACGTGTTCAGTCGCTCTGGGATTTATTCAGAGTGGAGAAATGCTAGCAGTCACTGTGGAAATGCAGCAGATTAGAGTCATGGTCATTTTGTCCGTAAAGGTGGATGTAATGTGCGGAGAGTGACAGATGTCATGTCTTATCTCAGGTGCTCAGAAGTGGCGCTTTTACTCTTCATTTTTGTGGAACTCACTACAGGTACAGTTTCTTCCCTGTCAGCTCTTTCTCTACTCTATTGAACTTGTTTTGAGACAAAACTGAAGTATATTTGCGACTGCAACATATGTAAGTAAAGTTGAGTTCATAGTCACAACAACATTGTGTGTAATCTTCTTACTGTATTTAGATGACCTTACATTCTGTTATGATTATGCTTAACTTACTGTTTTAGACGGACTCTGAGCATTATGTAATGAACTGCTTAAAGTCAAAAGATCAAAACATTAGTGTCTGGTGGTGTTCCCATGTGTGTCTAGTTCACAGAAAAGTACAGACAGGTGTTTACTCATTAAATACATCTTTAAAGGCTAATTTCCACTGCACAGGCAGAAGCCTATTGCCTACCAATGGTGTTTGTTTTTGCCAACTGAACATGTTCAATCTGCATTTGTCGGGTCGTGGAATGTTTGAGAAGTGATGTTCTGTAATCTGTTGATTGTCTGCATTGGTTAGTGTCTGTCTGCAGTGTGAGTTATCTTTAAAAAGGCATTTACTTATCACAGTCATGAGCAAATGGCAAAATACAGTATGACATTTTTATTTCAATGCAGTTGGAATGAAAAGCAGCTGAAATAAATGAAGAGTTGTTTGAACTTTGTGTGGAATATTGTTAGTGAGTTTTCAGTTTAAGTATTTAGATGTTTCAATATAAATTGCCATAAAAATCAAGATTAAGATGTCCGTAATAATAATAATTTCTGTTATTTTCTACACCTGGAACTGATATTTAATGTTGTGCTATTACAGAGTGGAATTGAAAGTAAATCTTGTATGACTGATGAATCTTTTCCCACTGTAATTTCAGCAGTCTGTCAGATGTTTTTTGCAACTGTCCGCTCTTCGATATATGCATGTTATTATTAATAATAACCAACAACAACAACAATAGTAAATATAGATATAGATGCAAAACAGCAATTTGGGGCCAAGCACGTTAAATGTCACAGGGAACAATCAGAAGGGCTGCAATGTGCATCTCAAAAGCATAAAAAGGGGGGGTGGGGGGTGAAAACATTTGGTAACTAAACAGAATTTCATGACATGTTACAATGTTTACATGACTGGTTGGCTACAGTTTTTATTAGTCCTTGACACAAATTTCACGATTCATAAGATTGCGATTTGATTCCGATATTCAATTTAAAACTGATTAATTTGAATAAATATCAGGTAAAGTATCTACATGTTCATTTTTCTCAAGGAAAAAGTCTCTCAACTAATGCTGTTAACATAGGGAGACCTGTCAGCTGGTATTATTTTTTAAAGGTTAAAATTAACTACTCAAATTAATATAATGCAGTATTTATAATAATAACGTTATAATATTGTTAATGATATGAGTAAAAAATATAATAAATATGTAATATAGTGCATATATTTAGCAAAATACTCGTCTGCAGGTCATTTTTCTTGCTAACATTCTATGGTCATTAAACGGCTTTCCTGAGGTATATGTAACGTTGCGTGACATTTTGTTCTCCAGCTGTTTTATTGATCTCTTTCTGCGGTTGAAACACAGATTGATCGATTACATAAGACATAATACATTTGTTTCGGTAAGTTGTACTGTATGTTACATACTAATGCTCGATTTTTCTGTGAGAAAATGGATGTGTGGCATGAGCGTGAGAACAGTGTCAAGTTGGCAGCCCTGCATAAGGATTTATATAAAAATATAATGCAGGCCTGTTATTTTTATGCTCAGAATACCGAGTGCTCTGAACCTCTTGCAAACCCTTCGGACTTGTGTCTCTGCCGCCTTGCGCATATAGATCAATTTATATTATATTAAGCTTGTTTTGAGGAAAATTGGATTGTATCCGGTTGTCTACGTTACTATGATTGGAAATAGGCCTACGTGTCATTTGTTTTAACAACGTTAAATATCTTTGTGAGAGAACGCAACCTTTTTGAGGGAAGGCAAAGTTTTGCGGGAACGCAAATATCTTTGCTGGAGAACTCAAAAGATTTGCGAGAGAATGCATAAGATTTGAATTTTTTTGTCTCCTATCCCAAATTATTTCCAACACCATGTCCTATGGAGCGAATTATGTGCCATAATTAAACAAACAAATCCAGCATTTTGCAAACAAACTCGATCTGCTTTGCAAAGGAAAACTCGACTCGCAAACAAACTCGATCTACTCAGTATTCTGAGCGTAAAAATAACAGGCCTGCATTATATTTTGCAAATTGCTTTCTGTTTGTTTGCGAGTCGATTTTTCCTTTGCAAAGCAGATCGAGTTTGTTTGCAAAATGCTGGATTTGTTTGTTTAATTATGGCACATAATTCGCTCCATAGGGACATGGTGTTGGAACATTTTTTGGATGGGAGACAAACAAATTCAAATCTTTTGCATTCTTTTGTCTCCCATCCCATTTTTTTTCCAACACCATGTCCTATGGAGCGAATTATGTGCCATAATTAAACAAACAAATCCAGCATTTTGCAAACAAACTCGATCTGCTTTGCAAAGGAAAAATCGACCCGCAAACAAACAGAAAGCAATTTGCAAAAACAAAGGTCAATTTGAGCGAAAATGCAGTGGAGTAACCAATATTGTGTTTTACAAATGTAAATAATTGAGCCTAGATAATAGGCTATTTCACAAATAAATACAAACCATCCTACAAATTGCATGTAACCTTTGAACAAATACCAAATCTAGTGCATACAAATGCATATCTGTCTGTTACGATTGTGAGATCTCTCGGCTCGATTTTCTCACAAATGTGTTCAGGCAGATTTTCTCACAAATGTGTCCAAGCAGATTTTCTCACAAATGCAGTTGAGTAACTTCCTCTTCTAAAACATCAGATGGCGCTAAAATAGGGGACTAATTTAGCGCTAGTCTCCCGGGAGAAGCATTGATTTAAAATGCGCTTTGCCTACAGCTGTGGAAAAGGTTTCTGTCTTACTTTATTTATAAAAAACATCTTGAGGTTTTCTTTTGCAAAATGTTTATTACAAGGCCACTGGGCCTTTAACATTGTTGAGGACAAAATGCCACATGAAAAAAAGGTTATTAGATTGTGATTTTACGATATGAGACATGAGAACGACAGAAATAGACTCGTTCAGTGTAGACATAATTTAGTCATTTCGCACGTGTCCAATGTAGAAAAAATGTAAAAAGCAACATATGATGGCAGACCTTTCAGCTTAGATTCCAAGAGAGAGTGAACTTCACACATGTATGTTACGTAAATATATTGGCCTATTTTCAATTCAAAATTGTGAAATTTGTCAAAAGTTTATTTATTTGCCTGATTATTTTTGTTGGTCATTTAACATTTCTGTCTTAAAACAGCTGTCAATTATGAAATGTTTAGCTATGGTATACTTGCATCTTATCTCGCACTTTATGACCATTAACAAATTATCAAATTATCAAAATCTCACCTGTAGTAAGTCACCAAAAACCCTTTATAAAAATACAAATATAAAAATAATTGCGTAGACCTACTGTAAATACATGAAGGGAGGTATTGCACAATTTCACCAGTAAGTCAGTCTTACCAATAGTAACCTTCTACAAGCTTTGGAATTTAAAAATGTCTGTTTTAAAATTTTAAAAGTACTTTTAAATAATAAATTATAGGCTACGTTTACCGCAGTTGGTGGAATTGCCAGACGTTCCCATCGCTTTGGAAGCGCGTCAAAGTATTCTCAGGTATAAATATGCAGCTATAGCGCATGTAGGTGATTTTGAATTAATATTTCATGTCGATATACAATGGTTACATACTGTTAAAACTAATACTGCTATTGATATCTTTGTAAGACTGCCGATCATAGAACAGTGTAAAGGGAAAACAAATGTCCGGTGAATCTCGAACCTAAAACTACCTTTACCGCGCTCAACCACCGTACGTGCATTTCACACATTTGTAATCGTTCGCGTTCAGCGGGGAGGGAAGGAAGGGAGGTTTGGATGGGGGGAGCACAGTAACCCGTTAGTGGGGCATGTCCCGCGAATGCCCTTGGCGCCGGCCCTGTTACTAAGTGCTAATGTGGATAGCATATGTAATAAACATTTAGCAAAGGAAAACCTCAAGATGTTTATTATAAATAAAGTAAGACAGAAACTTTTTCCACAGCTGTAGGCAAAGGCAAGCGCGTTTCAAATCAATGCTTCTCCCGGGAGAGTAGCGCTAAATGAATCCCCTATTTTAGCGCCATCTACTGTTTTAGAAGAGGAAGTTACTCAACTGCATTTGTGAAAAAATCTGTTTGGACACATTTGTGAGAAAATCTGTCTGAACACATTTGTGAGAAAATCTGCCAGAACACATTTGTGAGAAAATCGAGCCGAGAGATCTCACAATCGTAACAGACAGATATGCATTTGTATGCACTAGATTTGGTATTTGTTCAAAGGTTACATGCAATTTGTAGGATGGTTTGTATTTATTTGTGAAATATTATCTAGGCTCATTTATTTATATTTGTAAAACACAATATTGGTTACTCCCTCTGCATTTTCGCTCAAATTGACCTTTGTTTTTGCAAATTGCTTTGTTTTTTTGCGAGTCGAGTTTTCCTTTGCAAAGCAGATCGAGTTTGTTTGCAAAATGCTGGATTTGTTTGTTTAATTATGGCACATAATTCGCTCCATACCATGTCCTTTTAGGGGCTTCGTACATAACAATAATAAGAACAATATTAAAAAGCTAATAGCATTTTTGAAATTCCATTATAAGTTTTGACCACAAGGTGGCGCTTTCTCAACTTTTTGAGTACCTTTAATTTTAAAGCATAATGCCGAAGACACGTAGGCTACTGAGTTTTGTAAGGAAATGGCAGTGTTTGTAAAATATGGCATTTTATAACAAAATTCAAAATAGCCGAAATATTTGTTTTTTCCTGATTGTTTTTTTGTTTTTTTGCATAAAATTTTTTGTTTCTAGCCCTTACGGTTCAAAAATTATTAGCATTTTGACAGTTGGTGGAACTAGAGACTCAAAATTTGCTCTGG